TCCCACGCCGAGCCCGCCCTGCTCCCACGCCCGGCTGCCGGCTAACGAGCTCATTACGCCGCCGCCTCCCCGCGAGGCCCCGCGGACGGAGTCGGGGCAGGAAAGGGCCTCCCTCGCGGTAACTCCTGGTCCCCTGCCCAGAGGAGGGAGCACCTCCATACGTGAGTCGGTGCTCCCCGTCTGTGGGGGAGACTGAGGCTCAGGCAGTGACGTGACTCGTTTGACATTGAGGGTTGGTTGGTGGCAGAAGGGGGAGCAGAGCGGGGACTTCTTTCCCTTGCGGGAGCCAGGGCTACACCCGGGAGGGAAGGGAAGGCGGCTGGGGTGACTTCTGGAGGATGCTGGGGTGGGCGGGCCTGGGAAAGGAGGGGCTGAGGCAGGAGCTTCAGGGGGGCCTGCCCTTGCTAAGAGGGGTTGGGGATGAGGTTGGGGCCAGCGGCCGGATGCCGTGCGGGGAAACAGGTCGCCCAGGCCTTCATAGGCCAAGTGTCCCAGCCACCCTGCCGTGACCGTGCCAGTGACACCAGGTGTGAGCAGAGGGTCTCCCAGGCTGGCTGGGCACCAGAAAGCAGGACATGTCCTCAGAAGGCCTGCGCTCCACCTCCGGTCCCACGTGGGGAGAAAGGAGGGCTAGCAAGGATGCGAACTAGCCCTGGAAAAGTGGGGGTGGAGGGCTGGAATATAGGGCCCTAACCTCCACCTAGCCCTCCCGAGGAAACCCAGGTCAGCTGTTTGCTCACCTCCTCTGGGCCAGCGCCCTGTCTCTGTGTTGGGCAGCACTCAGGGCAGGGTGGATGGGATTGGGGCGACCCCACCCTCGGGCCTCCGAACCACGGCTGCTGCTCGCTTTCCCACGCCGTCTCTTTTTTAAAGTTTATTTTTCGGTTACACTTCGCATTCAACGTTTTATTAGTTTCAAGTGTGCGGCATTGTGTTCGCTGTTTACGTAACTGTTTACGACGCGATCCCCCAGTAAATCTGATCCCCACCTCGCACTGAGGTACTGCCAACTGCTCCCTGTGCTGGCTTCACAGCCGTGTGGCTGTTATTCTCACTGCCAGCTTGTACTTCTCAATCTCTTCACCTTCTTCACCCGGCCCCCAACGCCCCTCCCATCCAGTGACCATCCGCTCTCTATCTGCGAGTTTGCTTTTGTTCGTTCGTTTATTCTGTTTCTTAGATTTCACATCCCAGCAGGATCATCACACCTGAATCTCTCAGCCCTAACTTTCCTGCTCACCTCAGGCCTGGGCCCTCCTTTCCTAAGGGAGCATCTGGCCCAGG